ACAAATAAATAAATACAGACATAATTAGTCTGACTCTGTACTATTATAGACCACGTCAAGGAGCAGTTACCAAGCCATTAAAATCCATGCTCTTTTTTCCCTTGGCTTAAACCAAAAATAAATAAAAATAGGAAAACATTATTTTATTATTTTTTAATGTCTACAATAAGATATCGTCGATTTAATTTTTTTATATTTTAATATTCATTTTTTTTAAAAAAATCTTCAGAACAACCCTTACCTCAACCAAACATATTTAAAACAAGTAATAACTTCGTTCTCATTCAGTTCAAAAAAAAAAAAAAAACGTAATAACTTCATCCTGAACCATAATATAGTCTGTCCACATCAATCTCTTTTTTTTTTTCTCTCTTTTTTTAACGGGATTTATATATCTTGTTAATTAGGGAATAATATAAGAAATAATTATTAATTAATAATAATTATTTTTTTCAAAGATGTAAAATTTTAAATTAAAAAATAAAATTTGATTTGAATTTTAAAATAAACTAATAGAAAATTAAATAGTAATATTTGTAATTAAAATAAAAATCAAGATTATTATTTTTAATATGAAAAACTATAATAATTATATAGTTATTATTTTTATCATGTGTAAGTATAAGGTAGATAAAACCTTTTTAAACAAGAGAAATTTTGAAGATGAGATACATTTCGAGTAAAGAATTTAAGATATTATTATTCTAATACTTATTTAAAAAAGAGTCATCATTAAATTATTTAGTATCAAGTATTAGTTTTTGTATTTTTTTAGAAAAAAATATAAAAATAATATTTAAAATATAATTTTACATATTATTTAAATAATTAATTTTTTATTTATTTAAAATTTATAATATTAAATATATTTATTTATTTAATAATATATAAAAATTTATAAAAAAAAATAGTAAAAAAATTATATTTATATCTTTTTTTTAAAACAATAATAAAATAATGTAAAAACAAAATACCCCACACTCCAAGAGACCGAGTAATTCAGAATCCTCAACCTCTCTGTTATGATATGCAAAATAGGAAAATATTATATAACAAAAATAGAAAAAAAAAATTATTTCTCCCCTGCACATCAGTTTCTCCGCCGTGGTGATCGGAATAAGAAAAATATATAATAATACCTAAAGAGTATATATGGCGATTCCGGAGAAGAAATAGGGGAGGAGAGAGGAGAGAGGAGAGAGGAGAGAGAGCGGGCAATGCTGGAATTGATTGGCGGGGAATCCAAGTCGGAGAGACTATATGGGGGGAACTGGAACACTCGTGGACGGAGTTCGTCGCTGGCTTCAACGTCGCAACATTATCTCTACCACTAATCCCAACAACGACAACCATCACAATACCAAAGGTTCCGTCGTCGTCGTCGTCGATCATGGCAACAAGAGCAGCGGTGGCCGTGCGCCCGTGAGTGATAGAGAGGAGGTGGTTGAAGATTTCGACATTTCTCCTTTGAAGATCATCAAAGTTCCTAAACGAAATTACTTCCCTGTTACTATCATGGATCCTCACAAGAAGGTCTCCACTTTTCTTTCCAAAAATCTCGGTTTGATTCTGTTCTTCCTTGAGATCTTGTTTCATTCTCTTGTTTGATTGGTGGGTTTTTTATAATTTTTTCCCTTTACCGGGAATCTGATTGTGGTTTTAACATTTGAGGAATCTCAGAAATGGTACTAAAAAACATATATTTCAAAGATTAAATGCTATCCAATAAAAGCATAGAAATTTTTTTTAAAGAAAAAATTTGGGTAGCACTTGTTGCCGTCTAGAAGCTGAAATTGAATGATGTTTAATTGTTTTTAATTGAGTAATGTTTCTGTCTTGATCATAGGCTCAATATGGCATTAAAAGTAGTGGTTTCCGGAAGGATAGAGATGTGTTTTTCATTTTGAATGTCCATATTATGCAATGTACTGTCCTGATCATTCATTTTATAGAGTTTTTCTGTTTTGCTGTATCATACTATCATACTGCCACCTTTTCCTATTGACTGATTTTATTCTTCCTTTGGTGTTATGTTTTGTTTCTCTGCATATAATCATTGGATGCTTACCACCAGCTTTGAATTATCTTTTCTGTTTTCAGTTATACCATCACTGGAGTTGTAGTTTATATTCAGAGTAGTCATGGATCTTTTTTCCCTTGATTGCTTGCTTGCATTTGTTTGGACATAGTCAAAAGTCATTATTGTGTAAAAATGTCAAGGCTTTGCTTTTTATATTGTTAATGACATAGGGGTTCAGAAAAAAGAGAGCAAATACAGTTAAGTCTGCTTCTAAGTTCTATACATCAAGTTAATTAGTTTCTTTATCCCAGAGGTTTTATGCTACAGACACAAACGCATCAAATTTTGAGGTGTATTTTGTGAGATTACTTTGCATGAAAGTAATTGTTTAATTATTGGGCTAGTTGCTTTCTAGGAGTTGAAATTCTCTTTATGTTTCAGTCTTGACAATGTGCTTAATATTGCACTAAAAGCTGTGGTATCTTGAAGGATATGAGGTGTCTTTGGTCCTTGTCCCAAACTCCCAGTCTAAATTTTATATGGTTCTCCTATTTTGGTGTATTACAATGCTGCCTTTTCTTATTCAATGATTTGATTCTTTATTTGGTGAATAATATCTCATCAATAATTGGATGCTTATCAATTTTGAATTGTCTTGCTTTTCCATTTTTATGCTTTATCTTCATGTACGCAGCTTCCAAGACATTGAATATTTGTTGAGAGGGTGCATCTACATTTGTTGCTTTTCCAATGATTTTTAAGTAGACAAATTTCAAATTTCCTGTAGTACGAGTACTTTAGTTCTATATCTGGTTTACTTAGCTTAGAAGGCGCTTCAATTCCTATGTTTTCCATGTTTTGTTTGTTTACTGCTGCACTAGTAATAGGGTAAACTGGAAGATTTAATGATAATATAAATGTCTTTATCAAAATTTTCATTCTTGTCAATGGACATCTTACATGTAATAACCAGTCATTGTTAACCATTACAGAATGCATTAGAAACAGAATTTTTCACCGAATATGGAGAGGCAAGCCGATATCAAGTCCAGGAAGTTGTTGGAAAAGGAAGTTATGGTGTTGTAGGTTCTGCTATTGATACCCACACTGGTGAAAGGGTTGCCATAAAGAAGATTAATGATGTTTTTGAGCATGTATCTGATGCAACAAGGATTTTGAGAGAAATTAAGCTCCTTCGTTTGCTTCGACATCCAGATATTGTAGAAATAAAGCATATTATGCTTCCTCCTTCGCGACGAGAATTCAGAGATATTTATGTGGTCTTTGAGTTGATGGAGTCTGACCTTCACCAAGTAATTAAGGCAAATGATGATCTTACTCCTGAGCATTATCAATTTTTCTTATACCAGCTTCTTCGTGGTTTGAAATATATACATACTGGTCAGTGCTTTTTCAGTATGCTTTTTATTTCATGCCTTTGGTTTATGTTTGATTATCTGCTTTTCCTTCTGTCTTCTTTTGCAGCAAATGTATTTCATCGAGATTTGAAACCAAAAAATATTCTTGCTAATGCTGACTGTAAATTGAAGATATGTGATTTTGGACTTGCACGAGTATCTTTCAATGATGCACCTTCAGCTATATTTTGGACTGTATGTTATCATGGCATTTAAATCTTGAAGTTTTTCTGTATATTAAAAGCTATGGTTGTCCAAATGTTTGCTAACCTTCACTAACTAAACTTGTTTAATTTATGAAGGACTATGTAGCAACTCGTTGGTATCGTGCTCCTGAACTCTGTGGATCATTTTTCTCCAAAGTAAGCTGAGTATGATCCTTTATGTTTCAATCTCTAATGTTGTTTTTAATTACCATTCCATGGGACAACTGTTGGTATACTTTTGTGTTTTGTCTTGTGTGTGCTTGTGTTTTTGCAAGTATATGTCTGTATTCTTAATATTTAAAAATTGAGTGCTTTTCGTTATAAAATTTGATTTACTTTGTTTTCTAGGATTTTTGTTGTATTCTATTGTGTTAGATTAAAGTGCTGATTTTACCCTTTCCACTTTTGCAGTATACCCCCGCCATTGACATTTGGAGCATAGGATGCATATTTGCTGAAATGCTTACTGGAAAACCTCTATTTCCTGGTAAAAATGTGGTGCATCAGTTGGATCTCATGACTGATTTACTCGGCACTCCTCCTACAGAATCAATTTCTAGGGTTAGTTTTCTCATTGCTTCACATTCAGCTGTCCTTGCTTCTTCTTTGACCTGAGATGCTTTTCAAGTCTCATTATAGTTTTATTTGGAGAAAAAGAAAGACTGATTCATCATCATTACCTTGACAGATTCGAAATGAAAAGGCAAGGAGGTACCTTAATAGCATGCGGAAAAAGCAACCAGTCCCTTTCTCACAAAAATTTCCTGATGCAGATCCGTTGGCTCTTCACTTGCTTGAACGCCTTCTTGCATTTGATCCTAAAGATCGTCCGACAGCTGAAGAGGTAAGTACGATTCAGCAATGTATGTGATGAAAAAGTTTCTTCAAGTTGATACTAAGAATATGGATTATACATGAAAACATAACTCATCCATAAAGAAATATTTTCTAACTACCATTATTTAAAATCAGAAAATATGAATTAAGTTGTGAAAGTTATCCTAATCATTTGAAAGCAACAGAGCAATTATGTCCAATAGAACTGCTATGATTTAAGTGCAGCCAGCACTTTTGCCATTCTTTCTACCTTTTTATAGAAATTATTCTTCTTGTCACCAAAGACACAACAGATAAAGCATAATGGAGAAAATCAGTGCCTCATACGCATCTATGTCTCTGCAGTGTTTCCATACAATAAGTTATAGCAGGAGCTTGTCCACTGCTAGTTATTGTGGAAAGAACTCTTCTAAAGCCTTGCCCTCATTCATTCTTTCTGATTTCCCTAATGCTTATGCTTGCAGGCACTAGCTGATCCATATTTCCAGGGTTTGGCAAATGTGGATCGTGAACCTTCCACTCAACCAATTTCAAAATTAGAATTTGAGTTTGAAAGGAGGAAATTGACAAAAGATGATGTTAGAGAGTTGATATATCGTGAGGTACTCCTCAATACCTATTTCTTTAATTCCAGCTTGTGTTTGTCAAATAGCTTAACAAGCTTTTGTTTGGATTGAGCAGATATTAGAGTATCATCCCCAGATGCTACAAGAGTATCTCCGTGGTGGGGACCAGACCAGCTTCATGTACCCAAGGTTAGGAATCCTTTATATGAGCTGTGAATTAGGTTACTGATGTGAATCTGGAAAGAGAGCTACTTTAGTTTACCTATCTCATTGTCTTGGGTTACCTGAATGACTTCATTTAGTGTTTGACTGCTCCTCTTTGCAATGTTCTACTGAATGGTTCAATTTTTTTTTTCTTGATTTTTCCTCAGTATGAATATTTTTGAAAGATGTTTTAAACCAAAAGTACTTTTCATTAGTAAACTATTGAACTCTCCTGCTTTGCATCTGTAATAATGGTGTGCACAACATCCTATCCTACAAAGGTTGTACTATTTTTAGGTATTTACATGAATGCATTTAACTCCTAACTTTCACAGTTTATCCTCTCTCATTTTGTCACAATTGTACATGGTACCTTTTTGTGATTTGTACATGTAAATGTTGAAAAAAATAGTACCTTTTTTGATGGACATAATTATAAACTCCTTTTACAAACTCACTGTCTCCTTGAAACTGAAAGAATGAATTAAAAAAAAAAAAGAAAAAAAAAAAAGGGAAGTATCCCCATCATCCTTGGTTCTGGCTCCTGCCCATTGAAGTTCAAAGTAAGAGCTTTATTCCCTTTTCACTAAAGTTAGTCCTCGTATCCATCTTTGTTAAACGGTCATGTTCTTAGTGCCTTCACATTATAGAGCCATCTCCATATTTTATTGCATTATTTTTCCCATCTTAAATGCTCGATATTCTAGTATGTGATTTTCTAGTACATTCTGCTAGCGTTTTAACTAATATACAGTGTATTCTGTGTGTCAATATAGTGGTGTTGATCGGTTTAAGCGACAATTTGCACATTTGGAGGAGCATTATGGTAAAGGGGAAAGAAGCACTCCACTACAAAGGCAGCATGCTTCTTTGCCCAGGTATGTGTTTGATACAAAACTTTTGTAATTTTCTTAAACTAATGCCTTTCCTGTAGGGATAGAATTTATAGAGTTGTCTACAAACTTGTATAAGTTGTATTGATCTGACACTGTTTTGCCTTATCTTCAGACAGCGTGTCCCTGCACCCAAGGATGAGGCTGCTGATGAAAACAATGATTTTGAAAAGCGAAGTATAGCTGCTGTAGCTACTTCTCTTAATAGTCCCCCAGAGTCTAGGCTGGCAGATGATTCAGGAAACCAAGCTGCAGAGGGACAAAATGGACCTAGCAAACCAAACTACAGTGCTCGTAGCCTGTTGAAGAGTGCCAGCATTAGTGCTTCAAAGTGTATTGGTGTTCAAAAAAGAAGAGATTCCGAGGTAAATATCCTTTTTCTTCTGTAGTCTTTTTTATCTGCATAAGGAATCATTTATCATAAAGTTCTAACAAACATGAACATAAAATAAATGTCTGCAGCTACAGAAAATCACCTATCACCCTAACAAGATGACATTTCATGACAAGAATAAATAAAATGTGGCTGTTAAAATTTGTTTGGGAATTAAATTAACTTATTCTATATTGATTTTTGAATGAATTTCTTGTGCCTGGTCTTATTCCTTATTGTATTGTAACTTATTTATTAGTCTTATGCCTCGTCTTTTTTTTTTTTCATGATATTAATTATTTTGCAGTCTGAGGAAGCCATTGCCGAGGGGAATGATGAGACAGTTGATGGGGTAAGTCAAAAGGTTGCTGCCCTAAACTTATGATCTGTTTTTGAAGGAATCATGGCTTGGTGCATTACTCATTTTCCCCTGATTATGTGGAAAGAAGGTATGCTTCTTCACTACCTGAACAAATGATCTTTTCTCGTATTATGGAGATAGAAACTAATGATAGGTCTCCTATGTAACAATACGAGTTTTTCTGTTACCATGTTTAAGAGAGGCTATCCTTTTCCTCCTCATGTAAGTTCCTTCTACACCTGAAGGAAAGCTATGATGTGTTTTGCCCTCTTTTGTAGTGTAATACGATAGGTACGATTTTTGATATTTTAACGTTAAAGGTGATATGATGTTCTTTGTTGTTTCAATTTTTTTATGATAAGAATTGCATAGTTTTATTAAGAGGAATAAAAATTATGGCTCTCAACCATGCAACAAGAAATATAAATCACAAAAAATGTAGCTATAGCACTAATACAAAGCACCATTGCTCATGATGGATGGGGACAATTAAGGAAAAAGAGCCTCAAGGTATTAGTGAATGCTTTAGGGGCATTAATAGGGCCATGAGCGCCATGCACAAGTTAGAGTTATGCTGGAGTTTTAAGTCGTCTTTGAAAACCTTACCTATCTCACGACCCAATCCTAATACAGAAGATTAGAAAGCTAGGCAATGTAGGGTCTCCAGTCAGTACAAAGCTCTGCCCTTCATTAAAGGCCTCTTAGCCTACAGAATACAAATGGATGGAAATCGTCCCCCTACATTGCAAGAGCAATGCCCGATTCATTCAACTAAACTTTAGTTGCTCTACTACCAGCAAGTTCATCAAGGGTAGAACACGTCCCATGGAACTGCCAACCTTCTGCATAGCTCTCTCTACGAAGTCCACACCTGAGTCCGAGGAAACAAACCCGAAAAGGGCACGTCGAGAAATCATAGTTCTCTGGGGCTTTTAGATTTGTCAAACTGTTACAAGATTATTACGGATCTATCAAAGTTTCATGATGCTTTCTAAAATACTTTGTCTAAATCATAACTACTAGCAAACTAGAAAAGAAAGATTTTTCCCCTACCTCAGTCTAAACACAACATTTGGTTCTCCACGTGGCCATGACAGCATTCTGTAAACCAGTCAAATTGATCCTCTTGCAAGTGTGAATTTTCCCTATCAAGCATAGAGATTCCAAGGTAGTAAGGGATTCGTTGTTTCAATTTTATTAACATACAATACACAGTGTTGGGAATTGGAACATTCAAAGGTCATGGATAATATGCTACTCAGTTATATATTATTTGAAGTCAACTAATCACCATCATTATTATATTATATTATTTTTGATTAACTTTTTTATTTAAAGAGTTACACATGATATTTTATTTATTTAAATCGAGTTATATTTTATTCATTTAATATTAAATCATGTTGTATAATGTACAATATGATATGACATTGTACTTATAATGTCTTTTTAAAATTGATATTTACTAAACAATATTACATATCGCACTTGGGTCTTTGGACCCAGTAATGTCAAATCACCTTTAAATGCATCTCCCTTTTTCCCGGGTAATAATTTGAATCTAATCTCCTTGCAAAATTGTTCAAAAAAAAAAAAACAATATTACATATCGATGTACATTTACTAATTTAATTTTAATCTCATCTCTTGTTGTATAGAACATTGTACCAAAGTAGGAGATTCGGTACAAATAAGGATATAATTAATAAAATTATAAAGATCATATCCTTAATTAAAAATTTTTGAAATATAAGAGCCTTAATTAATAAAAAA